CAGGTTGTTCTCAAGTTTCAGATGACACTTTAGGGACAGGAAACCACAAGCACTTGGCTGAGTTTTTAACTTTTTAAACCTTTCATATGTGTGGGTAAAAAAAAAAGTTTCTCTGCTTTACTCTGCTGTCTCTTTCTGTTTTTACTGAAACCACGTAGGATTTATGCACGCATCAAACAACAATCAGCAGGTAGACCGTCAAATCATGGCTTTGGGGTTTATTTGTTTAATTATTCATTTCATTTGAGCGCTGTAATTTTGCAAAGTCAAGCCTTTCTGTCATTCTCCGACTGCTTTAATAGCCGACACGGTTCAGTAGTTAATTTATTTATTGTTTCTAAACTTTCATGGAAATTTTTTTTGTCTGCATCAAAAAATAAAAAAATAAACAAGTCGAGTTTCTGTTTGGTTTTTATTTTCCTCTCTTGCTACTCTTTCAGATCCTCTTCTGCAACACGTGGTCATAATGGCATTTTTCCAATTTTTTCTTTGTCTTCTTAAAACTTTTTGTTTATTTTAAAATTTTATTTTAAAATATTTTTGTAACATATTGTGGCCATACCTGTTTTTAAAGCAACACTAAATAAGCGTTCCACTTCTCCCCCCTACGGGCTGAAAGCGGAATTACAACAGTCGTAAACAATCCTCCTACAGCCTGCTGTAGCTAGCTCTAACAATGAACTAACACCAACGCGAGCCAGCTGATACTAAATAAGCCACAAAATAAAGATCCACATTGTTGGACATAAATATTATTACAAGTCCAGTAGCAACAAAGCCAGGTCATCATCACTCCGTGATTTTGTAGCTTCCTTTAGCTCCCTCAAACGAGTGTAGGCTGTGTCGATTCACTCTGGTTTTCACTCTTTGCTTCACCTCCAGACATTACTCTTTTACTTTCACGCTCTGTTATGATGCCAGGAAGAAAAAGAGTAAACGGTCCGCCACTAGAATAACAAACTACTGCCCTTTATATTAGCTACCAGGGGTAAAAGGCTAACAGCCGAAAACCAGTTAGAGAGCTCCACCTAGTGAACCTACCTGAACAACAAGTGAAGTTTCTGGCCAGCAGAGATCTTCAATCTGAAGTTGGTAAACTTTCTGCCTCAAGAATCACTGAAACCATGTAAGCAACATCTTTAAATGTTAAATAATGTGTTTCAGTCAGAAATTCAGCCATGATGAACTACGTAACCAGTGACTGCCAGAGCTTGTGGTGTGGAGAATTCTGGAGTGGAACCTATTCTAGCAATAATGTTGGAAAAACAAGAGGATTTGTGGTTGGGCAGCTGCCTGCAAGCTTCACATCACCAGGTTCAATGTTGGATATTGAATGAAGTGGTACAAAGCTCACTGAAGCTGGAGTGTGGAGCAATGAATGTTCGATTGGTCAGGTCTGGGTAAAGCTGGAGGAGCATCACCTGCCTCACAGCATTAAACTATGGTTTAGTGGAAGAAGGGAACTAGATTAGAGCAGTTTTTAAATCATCTAGAGCTCGGTTATCATGTTGCAGTAATTTGGGGACAGATGATGAAATGCAAAGTTTCATGTTTTTTTTTTCTTTCTATGAAAGAACTAGCAAAGATGAGCCGAAACTGAGATTGGTACCAGCATCGATGCTCCACAGCCACAAAAACAAACTTCAAAACATTCCAGCAGCAGAAGTTTGGGCTAAACTTTCTATTTTTATCTCAAGGCCCAAAGTGACGTTGAAGGAGCAATATTACTACTTATCAACTCCGTATGTCTGACTCGTCTTCATTCTTCATCTAGAATCTTTTGGTGCTGATCCATAGCTGGCTGCTGTTTCTCAGAGCGGACCCGTTTGCTCTTATGGATAAACTGCAGTACCCAAATTTGACCACAAGATGTCATTCTTACATCATGTACCTTTAAGTTGCAGGAGGGTTATTCTTGTTTTCAGTGTCTGTGCGCCGCCCCAGACCCAACGGAGATAAGGAGATGATCAAAGTTAAAATGTCCCCAAGGGACAGGTTATTGGAAAGGCTTGTTGTGCAACTGGCTGGTTAATGGAGGAGTTCTATCAGCTAGGTAGGCTATCATTAAAACCTAATTTACTTAATGTTTTGGTCCAAAACGTCCAAAAGGTCCTTGGGAGATAACCGAAACATCAAAATATCCAAATGAAAGCTTAAAAATGGAACATTTTGTAACCTGAGTGAACTATCCATTTAAAACCAACAAATGTATTTATCTCATAAACTATATTATTCTTATATATTCCTAAATATTAGGAATTAGCTTTACGCTGTGTCATTTTTAGGTGAGAGACTATGTTGAGACTTCCAAGAGCAAAATGAGCCAATGTCACATGATGAAGATACAAATGCTCTACTGGTTCGGCCCAGAAGACCTTTTGTTTCACATGTTTTATTTAAAACACGAGGACAAAAATCACTTTCACATGAGCTGGCAAGGATGGGTTCTTCAGGAGTGCGGGTGATTTTAAACGCCCCGGTCCAGAGCTGCACTGATTGATGCCCATTGTCTAGTTTTTATTTATTATTTAAACAAAGGAAACTCTCAGCCAGTTTGGCACGGATCCCTTTGAAAAGGTTTTGACTTTTTGGCCGAGACACGGAGTCTGCCAAGTCGGTGTGAGCAGCGCAGTGCTGCCACAAGGGCCCAGAGCCAAGGCTTTTTAACCTCCATGTGCCACACACACACACACACACACACACACACACACACACACACACACACACACACACACACACACACACACACACACACACACACACACACACACCACACACCACACACCACACACCACACACACAGCAGAGGCTGCCTCTGTAGCAGCAATAGGGCAACCTTTACAGCAGGTTACAGCTACAGTTCACAAAAAAGAATTATGATTGCATAAAATCAAAGAATTATCCAAAACAACCTATAGAAAGCTCAGATATCCATTTAAAAAATCACAATATTATAAATCTGGTCTTTTCTGACATGCAAATGATGAATTAAGCAGAGATGCACTGAACTTGGTTGTGAAGGCCAACACCAACCCTTCTGACCTGCAGATTCTCTCCAAAAACTGGAGTCAATGTATTGTTTTCTATTTGATTTATTTTCTAAAATATTACATTTATACAATAAAGTAACATTGTAGCCTTCTAGGGTTCTACAACCCCCCAAGACACTTTACAACACAACCGGTCATTCACCCATGCAAACATTCATTCTCACGTGAGTTTTACCCTGTTCTGTGTGTGTACTGTAATGTAACTAATACACAATTTTTTTTTACCGTAACCAATATCGTTAGACAACCGCCTACGTACAGATGTTAATCACAGAGCGTGCTTAGTGCTTAAGGATGTATCTCAGTTCATGCAGAGTTGGTGACCTTTCTCATGGACACATCTTTAAAATATAAACATATGAATACCCAACATAGCGTCAGCATAATAATTGTTTAAAAAAAGTGGTTTTTGCTCTGTCGGCTAGAGGAGAGCGTTCATGAACCAGAGGCGTGGCTTTCAGACTTAAATATGGAGGTAGAAATCACGGCTTAGTGCGATACATTTGTCAGCCACTAGATGGTGCTGTTGGATTAAAAAAATAATCTGGAGTTCATCCTTAATAAATGTTTTTTTTTTCAAACTGATTAGTACAACTTATTTTCACTGCAAATAATTTTATCAGAGAATCAGAATCAGAGAGAATTTTATTTCCAGCGAACCAGAGCATAGGAACTTGACTCCACAGAACAGCCTAACCAAGATTACACACACATATAGACAGGACAGATACAGGCAGACCACGAGAGCAGCCATAACGGCGCTCATTCAATAGATGAAGAGGGGATTACATGAGGAGAGTTCGGGGAGGGAGAAAAAGGCATTAACAGAGTTACACCGGCAGGGTGTAGCTCTACTATGCAAAAAAACACCTAAACATATAAGCACGAACGTCACAGCTTACAACATGAGACCCGGTAGGTAGGGGGGAGGGGCTGGGACCCTGGTTTCCTCAGCGGGAGCAGCCTGTGTGGCGCTCGGCCAACTGAATCCACAGGTGGGTGGGAGGTCATGGGAAAGCACAGAGCACAGTGAGGGCCTCCATCTTGATGACCTCGATGCAGAGACCACAGTCTGAAGGCGGGGGGGGGGGGGGGGGGGGGTAGGTAGGGTTTTCACAGCATTTGTCTGCATTCCTTCCATCGTGGGGGTTTTTGCACGCAACTCCAAGGCTGCTATGGCGTCAGATTGGATAACAGGACTTTGTTTGGGTCAGGCAGAGCTAATTTCCCTCTCTGCCTTAAAGTCTGTATCGATCATTCAAGTCCTCCAGTGAAGCCAATTCGGCGATTAAACATCTCCACACTGTCCGGTGACCCTCTCCGAGATGACATCCATTTTACGCACTAACACCGGTAACGTAGCTAAGACATTGTCCAGCTTGCGATTCACCTCGAGTAACGTCCCAGTCTGTGAGGTCTCCGCCTGGACGGTGCCGTACATGGGTGCGAAAAAAAAAGAAAAAAAAAAAACAGAAGTTGAAAACTAGCATGAATTAGCGCTCAGCGTTGATGAGTTCACAGGTCAGGAAAAGTGTTGGATGTTTTAATACTGCTAGGCAATGATGTGTTCATGGTCAGAAAAAAAGTCAGATTTTTTAATCGATTATCTACTACGGACAACTGCTTTTGGTGAAAAAAAGTGTCACAAGTTACTTGATTTGTTTCATTCAATTAGAAATATACCTGACCTGTTTATTTTTAATAAATCAGACTAGCTGATGATTTCATGTTATTTTATTTTACTTTTAATCATTTTAATATCTTTTGTTTATTTATTTTCCCTGTATTAACTTTTTGACAGAAAATGCTTAACTTTAGTTTTTTTCTTCCCTCCATTGAATCTAAATTGACACCAAGAAAAGAAAAAGATTTGTGTTGTTTCAGACTTTATTTCTGTCTCTCGTTTATGGTTTTGGATGCTCTGGGTCACTAAAGCCAAATTCTCCCAGTTCCCAGTGTGAAAGGTCTCTGTTTTGAATATGCGTGGATGTGGAAGGATTACTGAATCAGGCCCAAAGGGTTTAAGGTTCTACAGGTCCAAAGGCCCTCAGTTCCTGTTCTTATGGTTAATATTAATATCTGCTGATAAGTAATTTGGCACTGGAAGAAAAAACTTTAGGAAACAAACTAAAAGCTTTTAGATGAGCCTATTTTTTTGCATGCTTGTCTCTAAAAACATGAATCACTTTTGAATAATTGCAGATATTTGTCATTAAGTTATGCAAATCACCATCTACAGACAGATTTCTTTTCATCAGGAATGAGACGTACTTTTCTTTTCCTTTCTCCCGGTTTTCCGGCAGCGCCGTTCGTTTCTCCAAAAGCTTTTTATCTGCTTAAATTTGTGACACCAGTGGTTCTTGATTACTGCTTTAGACTATTCCAAACCTTGAGTGGTTCGGTTTTGAACTTTTGTTGCTAAGCAATGTTGCCAAAACTCTGCTTATTGGTTAGGAGCTGGCACTTTTGCCTGGCAACATTACCTGATTGTGTATTCTGGAGACACTGGCAAGAGCTTCCAGTTGCAAAAAAAAAAAAAAAAAACTATTCTGCCAGGAAAAAAGAAAGGCTCAGAATATGGCATCGATCTGCTTCTAAAGGCCCTGTGTTATTTCACTAGCTTGTCTCTAAATGCACCCACACAAAAAGAAAGCAGGTTTTATGTTTTAGAACAAGCAGAGGGATGACTCTGCAGGTATTCTGAACATTTTGACCTTTAATAAACTCTTAAATATACATTAAGAGTATCAGATGACTTCAGATCAGTAAAATTTGTTGTGAAATTTTTACACACCTAAGGAGTGAAAATGCAGAAAATGGTAAATGCAAATCTTTATTTAGAAAAAGAGTAAAATAAGAGTAATATTGTCTTGCATAATTTTTTCTAATGTTAGCCTTTTAGGGATTTACTCTGTTTTATTTCTGCAAACACACAAAGCCTCCAAGGATGTTCAAACCACTTATTACATCTAGGGGGGCAATTCTTTTTTTTTTCTCTTGGTGTCAGGTTGGTTTAGATGGGATTTTTGTTTCTTAATTAATTAAATAACCATCAGTCTTATATTTAATACGTTATCTTTGTCTGATTGCGAAGTTTCTTCGCAGATCTGAAAAATCTAAAGCAGAAATGAAATACCCTTGGATTATTTCTAACTAGTGTTGAATTAAAAAAATTGTCAAACTTAATATTTCTTGAAGTGACTTTGAAAATAAATTTAAAAAAATCACAAGTTCACTTTAATCAATTTTTCTAGTTTGAGATTTTGCACCTTTTCTTAAAACTTGACATAATCAATTAAAAACATTTTAATTATATTAAAACCTTAAGGAAGTAGTTTCCACATCTGCCTGCTGGTGTCGCTGTTTACCGCTTTTTTTCTTCATGTGAAGGGACGTTCCTACATTTATTGCATCTAATCCGCACCTACAAGCCCATCTATCAAAAATGCATGAAGCGGATAAAACGCGAACAGCCGCCTGCTGAACATGGGGACTTTAATTCATCTGCTTTAAATCCGAACCACTCAGATTTTTAAATAGTTTTTCTTGTTTTTGATGAGCTGCTGAACAGACCAGTCGATGCTGCTACAGCAGGCTGCTCATGAGGTCAGCCATGGGATCAAACAGGTGTTTAAAATAAATTAAGCGCGGACATTTTTTGCATGATTTTGCATATTGTATGTTCTGTATACAGAAAATGTCACGTTTTGCAAAAATTTCAATACGATTTAAAACGCGATGGGAAAGGGTTGCATATAGTTTGTTGTTGCTCAAATAAATAAATAAGTGGGTGATATACATCCGAAATTACATAAATGTGAATTGCAGAGCGCAGAGAAGAAAAACGAACGTACTATAGCAGATAAGTGATTTTTTGGTGTAAATAAAATGAACTAAAATGGTTTTATTGCAGTAGTGGTTGATGTATGGGACGCTACTGGGAGTGATTAATCACAGGCATCCATGCTGCAAGTCATGAAACAGCAGAAACGTGCAGATCGGTGCTGCCGGAGGGGGAGCAGAGGTGCTGTGCTCCCACATGCCTGCGCCTCTCCCCCCGAAACCCGAGCCGGGCGGCCAGCCCCCTCAACCAGGAACAAACTTTTCTGTACATTTCACGTCACCTGGACGCCGAACATAAATTTGGCATCCTATGCAAATATATGCTGACGTAAAAGATCATGTGGTTTTTGTCGTCGATCCCCCCTATGAGCAACGAGGAGGCTTTTTCTTTTTTTCCTCCTGTCTACTGTTGTCTTTAGGTTAGCTATGCTACAATCTTTACTGTACCCAGCGCTAGCTATATGCGCTCCGCACCGCACCACTCTGGATATCTGGGAATAAAACCAACTTCCAGCCTGTCGCGCCTCGAAACTACACGCCGCTCACAGGTAGGATGCGTGGGAAACTTCTCATTATTTAACTCCTCGGGAGGAATTTTCACCAAAGTGACCGCAAAAGTGAAGTTATTAAAGCGGGTTGTTTTGCAGCCTGTCTGGGTCTCTCTGCCCTGGCTGCTGCTGCTAGCGACCGTCCCCCCTCCATCACAGCCTCCCAGAGTGGGAATCACCTTGCTATCACCCTAACCGGGAATAAAACTCGCATATTCCCAATTGTTTGGTAACTTTTGTAGCGTGTGAGAGCACGAGCCTCGGTTATATGTTTATTTTGGGATAGTTGTCAGACAAGTGAACACCGTCCGGCTCGCAATGATTTCGGGAAGCCAACTTCTGCCGTCACCCCCCTCGCCACCAACCGGTGAAAGTGCCCATAATAAATGTATTAGCCGGGGGAGCTAACCGCTAGCCAGTTAGCCCCCCGCTAATGACAGGCAGCCCGGCGGAGCTAAGTGCTTTAGCCCTAGCCTTTCCCCACGCAGAGGCTGCCCCTCTCTGGATGGTATCCTTTTCAAGCCGGGAAACGTTTTTATGTTTTTGGGCTCCTACTCCAACAAGTTTCTCAGCCGAGTGATGTAGAGGGGAAAAACGAATATAAACACAGCTTTTAGGTGGCGACACGGTATCAGCGGAGCAGCAAGTGGCGGCTTTTCGGTTGCGGTTGTCGGTGCAAGTGTTGTTGTTGTTACCGCTGTAGGTCGGTTCAAACTGGGGTAGCTAGCAGACAGCCAGTCTGGCTGCCTGGGTCATCTGAGGTGAAGCCGCCGTCAGCGGGCTGCATGGAAACACTCTCTCCTCCTGTACGACTACTTTACTACTGTTGATAGTTCAACACTTTTATTTACTACAGACAAACTTTTTCCACTTTTCCACATTTTGAGGCGCATTGAAACAAACTGAACGTGGAGAGGTTTTTATTCACACGCGGACCTTTTTGATGTTGTAGATTTAGCGACGCTGCCGGATAATTTTTAATAAAACTGCTTTGTGTTCGTGATGAACACACACACACACACACACACGCGCGCGCGCGCGCGATAATAAGTCAGTAAAGTTAGTTTAATTATATGTTATTTTTTTCCTGATCGCCTTTGTGACACGAGCAGCTCCGGTTCAGAAGGCTGCTCTGCCCGCCTGAGCGAGCGCTGACTCGGTGCCAGTTAAAGGCAGACTGGTTCTTTACTGGTTTTTACTCTGATCCGAGCTGTCTGCGCTCACCAGTCAGCATTTCATCTATCACACAAGAAAAGGTCCTCTTAAACTGATGTTTTTGCACAATAACATGACAATAAGCAGTGGTGAACCTAAAAAAATGTATAGAGTGGCAGAAGAGGGGCAAAAAGGTCTTCAGGGTGGCACAAATCACGATTTTATTGTTCACTCAGAAACATGCTTTCATTGTCATTTCATCATTAATTACATAGTTGTACATGCATTTGTTTTGTTTATATTTTATGACCTTATTTTATCAGCTTATGTCATAATCACTGTGCTCAGACACACAACGTTCACAATGTCCGATCTGCCACTGCTGTAATTTATTGCTGCCAGCTGGGTTGGCAAATGGGGTGGCATGGTTTTCTGTTAGGGTGGCAATTGCCACCCTATGTCACCCCAGTTGATCCACCCCTGGTAATAAGCACATCTGTGTTCTGTTCATGAAAAAAAAAACAAGTTTCTTGCATTTATCTTAGTTATAATTAAATGTATAACATCATAAAGCGATTTGAAATGTTTGAAAGCAGATCTGAGTGATGCACAAACTTCTAAGTTGATGTTTTCTTGACCTAAATAGTGCACAAGACCTGATTGTGGTAAGGATTTTGCCTATATCCAAACTTTCCCTTTTTTCTACTTCACCCCCCCTGTGCACAGTATGTTCTCTGACCTAATTTTCTACCAAAAATCTTGTTACATAAAATCATGAATAATTAGGTGCCGCGAAGCTCGCATGCGGGTTCAGACCATATGCAGCGATGTGGCAGCAAATGAAAGAGCCATTGTACCGCTGCAACCTCCAGTGACACAAATATTGAAACTAAAGTTTCGTCTTCCGCGTGAGCCGCTGGAGTTTTGATTCCAGTCTGAAGGGACGTACAGGAGGAGGATCTCTGTCAGGCTTAGATGAACAGGTGTGTAAACGGAAATTGGGCTGGTTTCACCCTCTACCACATTCCTGACAGTAGGACCGGAGTGTGTCTTGGCTCTTGGAAATCATTGGAGAGGCTCATTTTTGGCAGGAGCTCCTCCTCTTCCTCTTTTCTCTATACTGCCCGGCGACAGCGTTACCTCCAAAGAGGCGCTCCGCTGCGTGGCTCGTGTTCAAAGTGTGTCAGATTTTTTTTCCTCCTCTTTAATATTATCTTCCACTCGTCGGTTCTGGTTCATAATCACATTTCCTCCTCCATTGACCGACTTTTTTGTCTCATATTTTGCGTCTATTGTATCTGTGCCGTGTCGGGCTTTTTAATCCTATGTTATGGATGCAGGGATCAGTCGGTCATGCTGCCATTCTCAGAGTCAGAGCGCGCTCACTTGCTCTTTGGCTGCTATTTATTTGTCACAAACACCAAGACACACTCACGCACACACACCCTGCAGCCCTCGTGCCCTTTCCTGTCCTCACTACTATTCACACATCACACACTCGCTTTTTCCTGCTCTGACACGCTGCCGTTTCTTTTTTGCCAGTTCTTAGGAAGTGCAGCTGTGATTTGCTGCTGCCACCTGACCTGTCTATCCAAACATACAGCCTCTTATGCATATGCATGCTCCCTTACACGCTCTGGTTTGATTTCACCATTGATCCTGTTCATTTCGTTGGACTTTTATTGCAGAAAATTGCTGCTCTGCTCATACTTTGTCTTTATTTGTGGCAATAGAAAAAAAGACCCCATTCTGGGTTTGTGTCGCTCTCGGTGGCATTCAGTCATGACAGGACATAAGAGCCTCATACACACACACGTGTGCGCGCTATTCGACAGCTAATATCACACGCGCCCTTTGTTGCTCTGTCAAATAGCTATTTATTTCTCACGTGCACACACATGCAGAAAGTGTGCACAACAGCTGCAACGTGCACGCTCGCTCCTTTCTGCCCTCACACACTCAACTCAAACACAAGTATTTTCGGTGCTTTATGAAATACTGAGAGGCTGCATGTGTGGGTGTGTGTTTGGGAGAGTACGAGTGTGCCAGGTTGTGTGTGACTGTAGTGGCGATTTTGTGTGTGTGTGTGTGTGTGTGTGTGGTGAGTCACTGAAGAGCATGGCCAGGAATGTGTGTGTGTGTGTGTGTGAGGCGTCCTGCTTCGCTGCTGGAGCTCTTCACGAGGAAGCACGACACATGTGCTGGCGGTGTTGGATCTGCTCCGCTGCTGCTGCTGTTGGACCAAACCCACTTTCCACGTGGTTTGGGAGGTTTCTGGAGGTGAAATTCTTGTGAACACGAACAACAGGGAGCCCCGTTCTACCTGATTTAACCCTCTGGAGGCAGGTGTTGCAGATGTGCAACGTTAAAATCTACCTGCTTACTCCACATATGTATTTCATGAGCATTTTTTAACGCAGAAGTACCCCTGGAGGACTTAGTTGTTCGTCCTTTTATCAAAACTTATTTTGAGCCTGAGAGGGTTAATACCGAACAAGATATTGAGATGTTACTTTTCCCACATTTCAGCCAAAAAGTGTTTGTTTTTATTTCCTACAAGCTAAATATTCCTCTTCAGAATTTATCGATCCTCATTCTTTTATTTTAGACTTTCCTCTTATGCAGATCCTTTTATTGCACACCTTAAAAATAAATTTCCCTAAAGTTGAATATATATATATTTTTTAGTTTTACTTTCTGAAGACTTTGCACCACTATTTATTTCAGCAGTGAAAATGCTCTTGGCAGCATTCGGTAATTTTCCACCTTGGACCTGCTTCTCCGAGACATTACCAACTCCCTCTATTCTTGTGGTTCCTCATTTTCAACGTTAGGTTGAATTTTCATGCCCTTCCCTCCAGAAAGTGGTACTTTTATCCTTCTTAGGAGGAAAAGGCTGAATACAAACAAGCGTCCTGGCAGTTTTAAAACCCTAATTTTTAAATGTATCCTCCTCACCTTAAAACCACAAGTTTAAAATGTTTTGGCTTCAACCAAAAATGCTTTAGGAATTCACTCCTTAAGGCTTCTAAGAGTGTTTTCTAATATAAAAACTGTGTAAGTCGGGAGGTGGGCTCGCCACCCACAGATGCTACCCACGTTTCTCAACAGTTTTAGCAGCGTTGTGAAGCACATTATTCTGCTTTAAGGAGCTACTGCCACCAGGCAATATTGCACACATAAGGGGTTGACTGTAGTTTCCAACAGTCTTTAAGAATGTGAAAAATACCAAGATCTAAAGATTGCCACCATCAGCTTATTTCTAATAGCTTTTATGATAATAACAACAATAATAAATACATAAAAAATCAGGGATGTAAGAAAATATTGATACACTTGAACATTGCAATATTTTGTGACGTAAATCGTTATAAGCAATGTATTAAACATTTATTGTGTTTATTTTGTGTGGTGCAATTCAAACTCCGACTTCTAGGTGGCAGCAGTTTTTAGCCTCCTCATTCCGACCGGACAATGAGATCTCACGATAACACAATGTATCTTGGAGTCGTCTGGCCTAGTAAAGTTCCATTAGTTGTCACACACACTGATGTGTGTGCGAAATTTGTTCTCCGCATTTGACCCATCCCCTGGGGGAGCGGTGAGCTGCAGACACAGCTGCACTCGGGAACCATTTGGTGGTTTAACCCCCCAATCCAACCCCTTAATGCTGAGGGACAAGCAGGGAGGCATTGGGTCCCATTTTGTCAAAGTCTTTGGTATGACCCGACCAGGAATCGAACCCTGATATCCCAGTCTCAGGGCGGACACTTTATCATCAGGCCACTGAGCTGATTAGTATTTAGTAGTGCACGGTATAGCCGGTATACGGTTAATATGGCATA